CTAGACCGGCGGTGGGGGCGGTTCTGGGGAGGGCAGGGCGGCGAGGCGGTCGCGGGAGCGCCGCCGGCCACGGGTGGCGGTGGCCGGCGATTCGGCCGGTGGCACGTTTGGCGGTTGGGGAGCTGAGGAAGAAGAAGATCTTGCTGCCACACGATTTTCATCCAACGGTTCAGGAATCGACTGACGCAAACTGAAATATTCAGTCGACTGAACTGTAGCCTCATCCATTTTTTTTCTCTTTTAGTGAAATGACATGCAACTCTCCTGCATGGTTTCAAAAGAAAAGGAGCTGAGCTGCGGGTGATCAAGTGTGTTCTGACTTTTGAGGTTGCTCCCTTTGTTTCGACGGAGGCGTTTCAGTTCCCACACCGAGGAATACATTACTCTTATGTCTGAAAAATAATTACTATAAATTTGAGTCAGGTCTATCTAATAGCTCCCTTCACAGAGCGCTGATGTAAACACATCCAAACATGTAGTCCCTGTCAATGGCACACCAGCATAATCCCGAGCGAATAATCAGACAATATAAAACACGAGCCATGCGCCTATAGTCCTATCATGCACAGAAGGGTCTCTTCATTTGTTACGAACCCGTACTGCTATTGACCCCTTCAAATCAGTGGAATAAAAGGAGTGGTCGCTCTCGCTGTTGCTGCTGCTGCTGCTGCTATGTTAACCACCAGAGAAGCGTCGGTTGAGGCTCCAACTATTCAGACAAACCAAACCTAATCATCAGAACCGTCCACTTCAGCTCGAAAACTTCGAAGAGGAGGCAGCACTGTGCACGCAACAAGAAGAGACATAAAATCGAATCATGTTGCTCCAGCGCCAGTTAGCCTACTCAACTGCGGCGCCCGTTCCCAGCCTCGAGCGCTATGCATTTCGCCATGTCGCCCGACAGCCTCCTCCACTTCTACGCCGCCGCGGCGGCCGTCACCGCCGCCTTCGGCCTCTTCTCGCTGTACAGGCACCTCGTGCGCCGCCGGCGGCACAACCCCGGCATGGAGGCTCCGGACGGGGATTCCGAGGAGCGCCGGCCGCTCGCGGTGACTACGGTGGCGTCGAGCCTTCTCCCGCCCTTCATGTACAACCGGCTCGTCCGGCACAGCGGCAAGGGCGACGGCGCGGGCTCGACGGAGTGCGCGGTCTGCCTCGGCGCCATCCGGGTCGGCGCCATGGCGAAGCTGCTGCCGGCGTGCGCCCACGTGTACCACGTCGAGTGCATCGACCTGTGGCTGGCCTCGCACTCGACGTGCCCTCTCTGCCGGCGCAGGGTCGGCGATGATCGCCCGGCTCAGGACCTTGCCTGTCTTTCACCTGCATAGATTGATCGACCATCACGTAGGCAAGACCGCAAGAGATATCTGTACAGTTTTTTTTTTCTTTTTTCCTTTTTGAACTTCGAGATAAAATCTGCATGTATGCTGGTGTATAGTGTGTGAACTGTAGACTCGTGTGTTTCACTGGAGTTGCATTCGGATTTCTCAGCCGTCAGGATCCCATGAAGGCATGAATTGATTGCCAAAATACACACTTCCAGTGTCTACATGTGAGATCGAGATATTTCTGGCCGATGCAGCATTCGAGCAGGGCAGCAGGGGAATGCATGACATAATGCCAATGTAATCATCAGGAATGCCATAATGAGATATTACACATAGCAGGAGATAAATACATAAAACGGAAGCAAGCCAAATAAAATGTCTTTTTCAAAGAAAGAAAACAAATAAAATGTTGTACTGGGAAGTGAATGAATGCATAAAATTGAAGCAAAAAAATGCAATTACATGAGACGAGGGGCGGCAAGAACCTCTCTGATTGCTCATTTGCAAGACCAGGAAAAAAAGGGGGGAGCCATCCGAGAGAGGATCTTTTTTCCTCACTCCATGCTCCACCACATAGAGAACACACTGAATTGCTGCAGCTCAATGGTTGATCATATACATGACACGCAGACAGGAGTTTAAGCAAACCCATCAGAAATGCGAGGCAACAAAAAATGTTACAGACAGAGACATGCACAAAATAAATGACCGGGTGTCGAGTCGCCATGAAGAACTTTGGCTTAAATCTGCACCGGTGCGACCATAGGTTGTTATTCCCGTGAAGCTGCCATTTCTGGGGGATGAACTGCAGTGGGACAAGTATGGGGTTAATGGTTCTGCAGAGACTTGACATATCAAATTAAACAATACGTAGCTCAAAAAAGAATTTCCCATTATCCAGTTTCTAAGAACTGAAATAGGCAAAGTGGCTGCATTATTGTGACTCTTGGCTCAGGTGGGTTGATAATCTTGTTGATGAAGCTGTTTTTAGATATTTGGGTGTTTGGCTAACTGCCTTTTTTCATGACCCAGTTTCATAAAGGGATATAGTATTACTTTCTAGAACATATGAAATGTGAGAAGACCATTGGATCAAGAAAATCTAATCTTAACTTAATTTACCAAAACAGAGTAATTTTCACAACTTTCTTCCCGCAGCAGCTACAAAACATGCACAACACAATAACCGTAAGCTGAATCTAAAGTGTGTATCTTCAATAACGTAAAAAATTGCTTCTTCCATTCCATGCAACAGATGTGCTAATCACTTTGAAAGAACCTCCAAAACTTTGGGTAAGTATCTGGTGTATGTCTATGACCGGTAAAATTTATCTGATGACTAATTATGTGTACAACTAAATGTAGACATGCATGTCAATCTTAGATCATTCTCAGTCAATCAAAGATATAAAAATCATACGAAGGATGTCAGTTAATCAAAACTGCTTCTTAGTGCAAATCTTCAAAAGAACAAATAGACCCAAAGTTGATCATTTTTCTTTGTTTCCATTACTGAATGTACAGCCAACAATAGATATGGTTAAGCAATGTGTATGTATATGAAAGCAATAAATTAGTATTTTATTGTGACAGAAAAATAAGTTAGCTACACCAGTACCACACCATCAACATGGATGAAACAGATCATAACCGTGTGAGCTAGAAGGATATTGACTTGCTAGCATAGTGGAAGAAAAACTAGTGCAGAGGCAGAGCCAGGAATTGAACATGGTGATGAGCCGAGTTGAAAGTTTTGAAACCCAGTCACATGCTCACTAGATTAATATGTGATGAATGGAGAAGGGGATTAATACTGGATTAGTTTCTATGAACATCACGTAACATCATTAAAACTTAGAAAGAATTAGCACTACATAATTCCAAAGATTGATTGGTTAGACAAGCCGCATTACTAGTCTTGACCATACTAGAAGTACAAGACTAAAAGGGTATCATCACATGAACTCCGGGAAGAAAAAGGATAAGACTAATAGCATGCTTAGGTCCTATGATCAGACGAACACTTTCTTCATAGCTAGTGTTTATCCTAGTCCTGAGTCTAGTCTCAGCCACACAAAAAGGCCATGCAATCCATGTAGTTACTGATACAGAGATTTGGTCCTAACATCAGATGAACAATAGGACACACGAAGATCCCCTCCCTCCTCGAGCCACCGCCGCCGCTCTCCTCGACCCCCTCCCTCTCTATCTCCTCCCTCCCGATCTAATCTAGGCAGGCTTCGAGCCGCCATCGCCCTTCTCCTCACCGCCGCCGGAGCTCTGCGGGGCAAAGCCCAGGCAGGGGATGATGGCGGCGGCCGGGCCTTCCTCCGCCGCGGCTCCGGGATGTGGTTGAAGTGGAGATCCGCGTGTGCGTCGTCCGGCGACGACGGCGCAACGGTGAGGGCCCCTCCGCCGTCGATGGCTTACCCAGGAGGCGTGGCGGTTCCGGGCGGTGATGCGGCTCCGGTCGTGCGGTTTCCCAGCGGCAGACGTCACCCATGGGCATGCTAGATGATGGAGGATGTCGGTCTAGTGGTCCACCCATGGATGGATGCGAATTTGCCAGTGAAAGCTTGGCTCGGCCTCGGCCAGAACCGACAAAGGCGGCGCCTGCGGGCGTCGTTACCTCGTTGGAGGCGTTGTAGGGCGATTCACGTTCCCTGTGTGCCTCGCAGGAAACCCAGATTCGGGATTTCCAGATCGGATGATGACGAGGTTCCTGCGTCACCCCCATGGGGGCATCATCTTTGGGTTGTACATAGGTTGGGGAAACAAGTGTTTGGTGGTCTCCGTATGCTTCTCGTCCGGTGACCAAGGTGGAGCGTCGTGCCATCTACAGTATCGGCGACGACAAGTCTTGGCGGCTCGGCGCTGAATATCATTTGATGGGCCCGCACAAGAGCCTGGGCTATCCGGCGTCGTGGTGGCGTCGACGGCATAAGGGTCTGGCAAGATCAATGCATTGATTAAGATGAGATGCGGAAGAAGGCGGCGACGGATTCTACAGCGTGCGCATGCGGTGCACGTAGACGGTCTGTTAGACCGGTTGGTGCTTCCGGCTTGCCGACGGGCGGCATGGTGAGGCCCCCAGATTTCTTGGTGTGCATGGCACGAGGTCAAGGCACATCATCAATCCTGTAGTTAGGGCGACAATTTTCGTCAGGAAGGTGGTTTTGGGTCGATCTATGTAGTATTTGTTTTGTAAGGCCTTGTTGAATAATGCAATAAAGATGATTGTGTGCATTGCTCGATACAGAGGCCAGGGGTAATCCTCCTTTCCAAAAAAAAAAAACAACAATTTAGGCAGAAGGCCAGAAGATTAACTAATACTCAGCCAATGGCGAATGCAGAGATACCATTAAGGAGTGAAAACTGAACTTGGAGGCCAGGCGCGGTGCACAAACCTGGAAGGAAACACGCAGTTCCCATGACCTGCAAAAACAAATGCCGGCGGCAGCACCGACACCACGGTGTTACAACTCCATAGCATTAATCCAACATTTAACGAAAGGAAAACAATGCTTGATAAATTTGAAATCAACGGACGCTTCATCATTCACGAGAGGATCCGAGACGAGTCGGTGCTTACTAGGGTTGAGGCCGATGAGCGCGGCGGCGCCGGAGAAGTCGCAGGCGGCGGGGCTGGCGGCGCCGCCGGATCGGAGGAAGTAGTCGTTGAAGGCGTAGGAGGCGTGCGCCAGGAGGTCGGGCGGCTCGTAGCAGGCGCCGCCCTGCTGGATGGCACGGCAGTCGGCGCCGCCGTTGGGGCCGCAGGCCCAGTCGATGGCCGACTGCAGCGCGCCGTCCTCGGCGTTGTTCTTCGCCACGCACCACAGCTGCCCGCCTTCGCTCACCCCGACCGCCCCCGCGGCGCCGCCGACGGCCGCGTGGGCTGCAAAGAGGAGGAGGGCGAGGTGGAGGGAGGGAGGCGAGGCTGCCACCATTGGAGGGAGGCGATTTGGGGGCGCCGAAGGAAGTTCCTGACTTCGCCCGGCCCCCGCGTCGCTCCGCTTGGGGCGACTCGGGCGGCGCCGAACCCTAGCCGCCGAACCTCCCCTCCCGCCTCCTCCCCCCCCCCCTCGCCACCGCCCGAGGGGATCTCCGGCGCCGCCCGCGGGGTCGTCAAGGACGGCGGCGGCGAGGATTTGCTGCTCCCGACCGGAGGGCTCCGGACGCCGAGGCGGCGGCCTCGGGTGGCGAGGCGGCGCTGTCTCCCTGCAAGCGGCGCCGCAGGTGGTGACCCTCCGTTCCCTTGGCCGCGAGGGTGGCGAGGGACGGCGGGAGTTGTCGCCGGTCGCGGCGGGTGCGGCGCTCCCCTCGCCCGCGGCTGGATCTGAAGGCGGCCCCTTCCCCCACGCAGCACTCTGCCCCGCCGGATCTGGTCGTCGGTAGCCTCTGGCCGCCGGATCCGGCGTTGGGCTGCCCGGAGATGCGGTTCTAATCGGGAGAAATCCTTGGCTGGGGTGCTCTAGCCACGACGGCGGCGACACCGGCCGGTGCCGCTCCCCTCCTTGGAGGCGCCGTCGAGTTTCGTGCCCTCTCCCTCCCGCTCCATGCCCGGGAGAAATTCCATGTCTTGCCGAGACAGGTCGACAACGATGCAGCGTGCGCCGCCTCCTTCTTGAAGGTGCCGGCTTGGGCAAGGTGGGAGTGTGCTGTGGTGCTGGGCGGTGGTGGATGGGTGGCTGCGTCTTCGGCGAGGGATTTGGAGCATGATGCTTTGTATCTGATCCAGTTATGGAGGCTCCATTTCTCTTTGCTGTTTGTTTGTTCAGTGACAGCTCCATTGTGCAGTTTTTCCTCTTCGTGCTTGTAGCAGTGGGCTGCGGTGTGGACTCTTCTGGTTCCCTTCGTGCAGCGGCGTGTCGAGCTGAGTATCTCCTTGGTGCACAGAATCATGCCCTTTCCTTGCTCTAGGGAGGGCAATTCCATCTTCCGGCGGTCCGGCGCCTTTCGAGCCAAGGCGAGGGGCAGAGGTCCCCTCCGGATTTGGAGAGGAGCGGCTTGGTTTTCGATGTGCACCTTCCAGGGTAGATGAGGGCTCGGTCCATCGACGTTGGGCAATGGCTGCCCGAAGCTCCCCTCTGTTTGTCCTACTGTCTATAGTCCACTTGGAGGACTCCGTTGACTACATGCTAGTGCTTCTCTGTTTACTTCTATAGGGCATGTAGTCTTTGGTGCTTGTAAGCTGCTTCGGCATCACCGTGTACCTGCAGTTTATTTTCCTTTCTGTTTTCCGTTGGTTGTATTGGTGGCCTTGTGTAATTCCTGGCCCGTTGATGGCTTTGTTAATTCAAAGTCGGGCTCTCCTTGAGTCTTCGTTCTAAAAAAGAATTTAGGGGCGCCAGATTGGAGGACGTGGATGGCGCCGTTGCGGCTTGAGTGGAAGAAACAGCTCGGCGGGGAAAGCACAACAGAGTGAAGTAGGGTGCTGCCGTAGCGGAATGTGCGACAGCACGGCGCGTCTCGAGGAGCTTTCGCCCTCGCTTCCGGCTGCTTTCTGGTCTGTACCGGACCCAGGAATCTGCTGCTCCTTTTTAGCTTTCCCTTCTTTTGTAAACAAAAACTAGAAAATGCCCCGCGCCATTGCAGCGGGAAACGATTAGAACTTTAGAAGTAATTTGAATTTGGAAATGAGTTTTTGTTAGACTAAGAATTCCAAATTGTTGGTGATCATTCTTGTCAGAGAAGAATAATAAAAACGTTTTCTATGATGTCTAATTATGATGGGAATGGGTCGGCCCCGCTCTAGCCCGGGCCCGTGGCAGTTGGCCCCGCTGCTATTTCTAGGGACATGGAGCCGGTCCAACAGACCAGCAGTGGCTGGCCTCATATCCAATTGAATAACATGATCCAACCCACTTTAATATTACAAAATAGAGAGTAGTGACACAATAACATATTTTTGTATAGCTTCATACAGCAGTACAATTTTTTTTGAGAGTACGCAATTGCGTACCTTAGCTTCATAAAAGGTAGAAATATGTACAAGAAGTTGATGATTACAACAAGGCCCTAGTACCACACTCGTGGTCATCAACAGCCCTCGGTACTCCACTCCTAAAACTCTACTCTACTACTCACAGAAGATGTTTAATCCGTGTCCTCCCGCCCTAACCCAAGAGCGTAGATCGTCAAAGATCCGACAGGTGAAGTTGATGACTGTCGAGACCTCCCTCGTCGGACCGAACACTAATCCGTTGCGATGCTTCCAAAGGCTCCAACAAATGATCATTACGACCGAGTCAAATCCCTTTTTGTTTCTCTTCGGCATTTACTTTCAAGCTTGCAACCACCACTCTGCAATCTTGTCATTCGTTGTTGGTACCAAGATGATGTTGATCCTGGCCCGGAGGAAACACCAGTGCCAAACTTGCCGAGCAAAGACGCGGTGGAGCAAGATGTGATCAACCGAGTCTTCCTCTTGAGCGCAGATGTAGCAAGCGGAGCTTGGTCTTGCAGTCCGTGGTGTAGCCGTTGATCTGTCGTCCAAAGCCGGTATTGTGTAGCAAGCCACATGAACAGCTTGCAAATAGGGGCGCCCAACATTTATAGATTGCCGGGACCGGGCCGAAGCGAACACTACCATGCCACAACATGTCATATGTAGATCTCGAGGTGTAAGAGTCGTTGTTGTCCCATCGCCATATAGGGGTATCACTCTGCACCGGATCAAGTACCATGTTGATCATAATCTCCCAAAGATAGATGATCTATAACATCCCATCCACAAAGAGATCTCCATTAATGTCATTTGCCCATCGATGGGAGAGCAGTGCCTCACGGACAGTGCGCCTATTCACCACTTGTGTGTGGACTCGCGCAAAGACCAAGGGCGCAAGCTCTTCCATAGATGATCCATCGATCCAACGATCCTTACAGAATAGTTCTCGCTCTTCCTTTCCCAACTTCCAATGAACTATGCTATTGAAAGCCGCCTGCACTTTGGCACCCATTGCCAGTGGCAAGCCCTGCCAGGGTCTAGCCTCGTCAGTGCGTTTAAGCCATTCCCATCTTAGTCTCAAAGCCAGCCCGTGCTTGTTAAGGTCTAGCACTCCCATACCACCAAGTTGCTTGGGCCGACAAACCCTTTGCCAAGAAACAAGACACTTGCCTCCATGAATATGCTGAGCCCGCCCAGAAGAATGCTCGACAGCCTTTGTCCACGCGATCCAGAGCCCATTTTGGCACGACTGCCACTAGCATGTGGTGTGTGGGTGTAGCTCTGATCACTGTGTTAACCAGAATTAGCCTACTGTTCGGGAATGTTGCATGGAAAACAAAAGAAATTCTATGCACAAGCAAGATCTATCCATGGAGATGCATAGCTACGAGAAGGGGAGAGCATCTACATACCCTTGTAGATTGCTAAGCGAAAGCGTTTATCAACGCGGTTGATATAGTCGTACACCTTCATGATCCGTCTTGGTCAAGTACCGAACGTATGGCACCTCCACGTTCAGCACACATTCAGCTCGATGACGTCCTCGCCTTCTCGATCCAACAAGAGAGGCGAAGTAGTAGATGAGTTCCGGCAACACACTATTGCAGGATGTTGCTAATGCGATACTACTATCAGAGACCCTTCAATGAAACTATGTGCGATGCAATAATTGCAAACGGTGATGTAAAAAACCGTCAAAAAAGGTGCAAAACATTTGTGATGGCGGATGCATCAAACACGGTTTAGATTTTAGTTGCATGTGCGATGCAGGGCATACGGTTCAGTTCAATGAACTGTTTGCGAGGAGGCGGAAGAACAGAAACGGGCAGCCAAATGAAGGTGTGTGCGATATACGGCATACACTAGGATGAACTGTTTGTGATTAGGCGAAACAAAAGAAACGGTCAACTAGATCAAGGTGTGTGCGATAGAGGGCAAACAGTTTACTCGGATGAACTGTTTGCATTGAGCCAAAATAACAGAAACGGTTTAATATAACAAGATGTGTGTGATACACGTCAAACAGGTCTGTAATCAGAAATATGTGCGAAGACCAATAATAACACAAACGATTGCTGCTAATAATACGTATGTGTTGTGCGATGTGATATGCTCTGTCTACACAACATCTATTGGCCATTGGGCGACGGGCGGTCATCCGGGTACGCCATAAGGATGCGAAGAGGCATCCTTTATCAGCAAGGACAAGCTGTTCCACCAATAGCTCATCTAAGAGAACTCTCAAGTTAACTGTGCTCAGGCTGGAGCAGCCATCAGATGGGTGACTGGATGGGAAGTTGTCTTGATATTAAATTAACTGATGGGATGGATCATAGACCTCTATGACCCATCCCATCAATTAAATTAACCTCGAGGTCCTTGTTTTTTTAACACATGTTAAAGAAGGTCTACCGCATTACTTTTTGACAACGTGCGATACGTGACATACAGTTAATCCATCCGAGCTATTTATGATGGAATAAGCGGTGTGTGTTGTGGGCAAACGCTTGCTGGTATACAACCGTTTTGCGATTGATGAATTCATCACCGACGGGTTCCCTATTGTGGTCCGTGTGCGATGTGATATGCTCTGTTTGCACAACACCTATGCTCTGTGTACAAAATAAGAACATATATATACTTATAACAGGACATGATTGCAAAACCAAATTAAACATCCAATTACGTTATATAACAAATACCATAAATATTGCAAGGTCCAAATTCCAAGATTACAAGGTTCAAGCTATTTAGACGCATAAAATTCATTTTCTTCAGAATCTTTTTCATGCATTATTTCTGCGAAAGGATCAGCCACCGAGAAGTCATATAGTGGCTCGATACAGTGAATTCTGAATAATCTGTCATATGAAGTTACAAACTGAAATTCAGCTTGTGTAGAGCCTTTTCCATTCAGTTGTGGACGCATGCGCTCTTTAGCAATCCATTCACTTATGCGCAGTAAATATAGGGCAAACCTCATTACCTTGAGCAACCTTG